CAAGCAGCGGAAGGTGGAAGCCTAAAGGCGCAAAACAGTCTAGGGATATGTTATGAGAATGGGAACGGTGTAGAAAAACAGTTGAGAAAGGCATTCGAATGTTACTCAAAAAGCGGAGAAGTATATTTTGTATGTGGACAGTATAACGTAGGTCGACTTTATGATAGCGGTAAAGGGGTTGATCGAGACACAAAGAAAGCTTTTGAATGGTTCTCGAAATCGGCAGAGATGGGTTATGAGTATGGATACCTTGAATTGGGTGAAAGGTTTTATTATGGATTTGGATCGAAAGCCGACACCATAAAGGCGATTTACTGGTTGGAAAGAGCCAAAAATGAAGAAATAACCAGGAACCAAGCGGAATTCATGCTTGAAGTAATCTTTGAACGAGTGACTTTAGTTTAAAATTACCTTTGATTATTTATTCGAAATTCACTATGATTGGTTGTCTGTGATTCGTCTCTTCATTCCTATCGTTTTTTTTTTTTTTTTTTTTTTTGGACAGAAAAAAATTATTATTTTTTGAAAACTAGGTTTTTCGGTTCGTTAACATTGTACGTTTATCACAAGTGTAATGAAAATACGCGTGGTTTGTGTCGCAGTACCTAGCGGTTCCCTGATTGGACCTGCCTTTTTGTGATAAATTTGTGTGCGCCTGTATTATCAACGATTTACACTCTTTTCTTTATAAGTGCGTGAAAAAGAAAAAAAAAAAGAGAAAGAGAAAAACAGACCACAACATGGTACTTGATAATGTTTGCGAACCCAAATCCAATCTTACCATCGAAAATAACGAAGACGACAAATTCATAAAAAACCTATTTAATTACTTTCTGGATCAATTCAATATTCAACACCAATCGAGCGATGTAGCTACCTTAGTAAAAATTTATATTCGAAAATCTAGAAGGAATTTCACCGAATTGTTCCATCAAATCATTCGAAGCAGTTATTATCCCTATATTACGAGTCTGGTAGGATTTTTCTACCGTTTTGGAATTGGCACATTAATTGATTACAAAATGGCATTCGAAATGTTTTCAATGGCAGCCAACGAGAACACGGACATCAGGCAAAAATTCAGAGAGCATAATTCCTCGCCCGTGAACATGCACACAGCATCAAACAAGATTTTGGGTATCGTGTTCCTTGGATATTTACATTTGTATGGCATAGGAGTGGAAAAGGACCTCCGGAAATCATTTCAGCTGTTCTTGAGGGCTACCAAAGAGGGATCAAGTTTAGCGGAATCTTGCCTAGGATATTGTTACTCTGAAGGATACGGCGTAGAGAAAGATGAGTTAAAGGCTTTTGAATGCTTCCAAAGATCCACGGAAAAGGGATGCATAGTAGGTCTTTACGATATTGCATATAGTTATCTCAAAGGTCTGGGCACCCCAAAAGACGAAGTGAAGGGTTTCAAGTTGCTCTTGCAGGCGGCAAGGAGTGGAAGTTTGAATGCCCAAAATGAACTGGGAATATGTTATGAGAATGGAAGCGGAGTATTAAAGGATTCGGACAAAGCATTCGAATGGTATTTGCAATCCGCGGAGAACGGATGTAGCGTTGGTTCATATAATGTGGGATGTTTGTATTACAACGGTACAGGTATTTGCCAGAATAAAAAGAAGGCCTTTGAAAGGTTCCTAAAGTCAGCCGAGAATGATTATGAATATGGACAGCTCGATGTTGGAAGGTCTTACAAAAATGGCATAGGAACAAGAAAGGACATTATAAAAGCTATCTACTATTTGGAAAAGGCAAAAACCAAGGAAAAAACGGAGACGGATGCAAAAGATGCGCTCGAGGGAATTGCTGATCGGATAGTCATAGATTGAGTAAAAGTTTTTGACCGGAATCAAAGTCCTAATTATCTTTCCGATTTAATTACTGTACAACATTCCAAGAGTCCAATCTAAAAGTTTCTCATTCATCTTTTTCTGCATCGATTGTTAAATATTTGTAAAACTATTTTTTCATGTACGTTCTCGCAAACAAATTTTCACCGAAAGCAATGCGGGTCTTAAAACACACACACCCGTTCTTGTAAAAAAATTCAAAATAAAAGCGTGATGGAAGATCCATCGACCTCTTATTACTAGTTTGAAATCAACATTTTAATTGAGACCAGTTGCAAGCGTCGCGAAAGTTCATATCCCAAGAATTCCAAAGTTTTTTCGTAGATAAACAAAACCTACTTCCCTTTCAATCTAGGATAAGGACATAGAAAATCGGACAAAGGCCAATCTTTTGCGCAAAGGAATAAAACCATACTGTATAAGGTAGGATTGGACATCGAAACAGATCATCAAATCGACAATCCATCTTTCCTTGATCTACATTTCATCAATGTTTAGAACGCAGTTCTTGCGAACACGTCATGACGATGCTCTCAAGTTTAGCATTGCTACGCATTTTTTGCTTTGTTGATGCATCCGTCCTACGCCTAACACTTATAGTGTACACGACATAAAAGTCGTAAAAATAAAAATCAAGAAACAAACAAGTTCTAGACATTCTTGTAAATATGCATGTACCCCGTAAGGGAATAAAGCAATTTAAAAGAATCAATTTACTCGTCGCGAATAATTTTGACCATGGCGCAAATATATACACGTGATAGGCGCGAGATGAAAATCTGTGCACAAATATGCTGTACATGCATAGTAATACTTAGTAATACTGTACATTAGAAAAAAAAACGACACTTACTCCTCACCTTAAGCTTTTTCTTCCTATTGTACCACTCCTTCTTTGCCGAGCTTTTATATAAACTGTGTATTCATTCCACTTTCTTTTCATTTTTACAAATATAAGGTCGAGACTCTTGAAATAGCTCATAGGTGTGTGAAGAATATTCTATAACCCTTTTATCTTGGGAAACTCTAGTAGCAAGGCTGCCTTTTGAATTCACTCTTTTAAAATTCACACAATATTTTTGTACCGTACAAGAAAGAAAGACTTTATTATTTATTTATTTATTTATTTACCTTTTAGGTAGGGTAGTCTTGGGTAGCAGGTTTTTTCTTTTCTTTTTTTTTTTTCTCATTAGCAAAACGATGCTAAGAATTTCACGCACCACCCTAATTAATTAGACATAGATATAAAATAGAAGCAATAAATTATTTATTTATTGCTTGTATAGATAGAATTTGAATTTTCATTGAAATGGTAGACTTAAAGATAATATACAAAGTATTTTCGGTAAAACTCAAAATGATGTCATCAGTAAAAAATAAAAAGAGGGCCAGCAAAAGATTCAGCAATCCAATTAGATTAGAATTAAATAACAAAGACAGACGAGATCAAATAGGTGGCGATATTTCGAAAAGAGGTAAGAGCTTTCACGGGAGATTTTTTTTTGTTGTTTTCTGAAATTGAAAGTACCGTTGGAATCCATAATAACGAAATCATTTATGAAATAGCATCTGTTCCTCCACGATTACCATCGCAAACGACTAAAGATCCACCGACACTACCTTTAATTTGTAGCCAGCTTCATTCGATCAGTCTTGATCCATTCACCACCAAAGATTACGATGAACAACAAAAACAACAACATCGACCGCTTTCAATGCCAATAACACACTCACCGGCAATACATTCATCACAATCTTTTAAAAGATCAAGTGTAGTCGCGTCAAAATCAACTCTCATTGATGTTGGTAATACCACCAATGATGCCGACGACAATAATAACGACAATAATAATAATAATAATAATAATAATAATAATAACAATAGCAATAGCAACAACAGTAGCAACAACAATAATAATAATGGTATATATTCCATTTCAATCGAGAATGCATCTCGATCTGTTCCCTCTTTAAAGCTGGTCCGAGATGTAGACGTACCAGCTCCGCCTACACCTACTCTCAAGAAACTTCAATTCTCATCAACCATCCTTATGCACGATACATGGACTCGCGATGATTACGATCGTCGTGGGGATCATTCCACGTGTAATAAGCTTACACCATTGCTGGCTCAAAGGATTAAGCAAGAACTAAATGAATACAAGATGGAAGAGATGGAAGTCCACGAGGATAGTAAAAAGAACACTCATTTCTTTGCTTAGATAGTTTAAGATATGCAATGAATCCGAACAATTATTATTGTTATTTTTATTTTATTTTAATTTTTATTATTTTTTTCTTCTGATACACCATGATGGGTTAAAAAAAAAAAAAAAGAGAGAGAGAATTGTATTCATAGATATAAACATATATTACACACATATATATACATACATACATACACAATTTTTCCTATAAACCATCTATATACACAGTTTTCATATAAACCATTATATACCCACGTACATATAGTTTTCCCTATAAACGATTCACTCTATAATTACCATTGACATATGTTATTCGAATGGTTGTTGTTATTTAATAAACGATGTATATCGAGGTGCTACTGCACTGATCTGACGTTTATAAAGGAAACGCACTTATGCGCGTTATTTGAGTTTGATAAATCAGATTACTTCATCCGTAACGAGTGAGTCTGTATTCATCGGTGTGACTTGTCGAAGGAATACTGTAAGTGGTCTGTTCAACTTTTATGGTCATTCATTCATGCACGTCGCGCAAATTTGGGCAAGAATGTCATTGTGAATTAATGTTATGTGATACCTAACATCTTACGTACGCACATGCGCGCCACAATATCGTACATGCAAGGACAATGAGTTATTATCATTACTCATTATGTTCAAAGATAGCAAGCATGTCTACTGGTAAATTGAGTTTTTCATAATACTAGCATTAAAAGTTCCACAAGGTGATATTAGAATTAAGATTAACGAAAATTCGAATTTACCGCATTACCTTCCAAATTATGATAAAGAATGCTTAATTCGAAGGAACTGAACATTATCATGTAGAGAAAACATATCTTGGATGTCATTCATCTGAAAGTTCTATCTTCTAACAAAGTAATATTCTAAGACAAGACAAAGCTCAAGTCGGAAGAAGTTGTGATATGAAGATTTGTACTTCCGTTGGCAAATTTTGTAATACTCGAGATACACAAGAATTAGTGTCACGTGAAAATCAACAAATTGCGTTTTTTTATCAACCATTTGCCAACCGCAAATATTTTTATGATTATTATTATATCAAAGAAACATAGTATAGCTGTTATATATATGTTTATGTATATATGTATATATTCATCATTATATTTATAGATATAAGAGATGTCATCAAACATCATTTACGTAAGTAACGAGAAAATAAAACGCGTTCTAATTTCCAGGCATTTTTTTTTTCTAATTCTTGGTTCACGGAGAATTAACTTCACGATTTTCTTGTACCAATGCACAGCATCCACAACACCAGTGTGTAAGGAAGTCTTCACCAGCTGAACCCTATTCATTTCATACGGCATATAGCAAAAGATGATGTGAATATAAGAAAAAGAAAAATCGAAAATTATTATTGCAACCATGGAAGTTCACTTACCACAATGTTATATTTCGCACGTATCTCACCGCGGCCCAGGAAACCCATGATACAAGGTCCAACAAAGGATGCGACTACGCAGTAGATTAATGCGTGTGTGGTGCAACTTCCAGGATCATTAGCCACTTTTGATTTCGTTTCTCCCTATGATTAAGAAAAAATGTGTGAATTACTGTAAAATTAATCGAAGGATGCGTGCATAAGATACTACAATGTAAGCTCTTACATATGTAATGCAAGGACAACACCAGGTCTTTAAGGCTATAGATTAAGTGAACGGATTAATGAAGGCGGATTAGACAAAAAACATGATTTTTTCTTGACACATGAAAAAAAAAACCTACAGAGTCCTACATCCGAAAAACAATCAAACAATCCAAATTTCCAACTGCGAGGTTGAGCCCCGTATGTAACTGACTCTTGGACTATCACGGTCTGTCCTCCTTGCATTTGTTGAGTACCCTGGTAAACCTGTGTTTGTTGAACGTAGGTAGTTTGTGCCATTTTATTACTATATTGGATAATTGGACTTTGCGTTATGTGCCGACGGGAGAGTGAGTTTTGAGTAAAATGTTTGGAAAGGAAAAAATTCTGATGAGCTTATATAAAATCATGAAATCATTAAACTCCGTGTAAGGGTTTTGTCGCGTCATCTTTGACTGCAAATACTGAATTCATAGGGTTCATTCTTCGAATGTTACAATAAATGCATGTAATGTAGGCAGCATGATTTAAGCGTGAAAGGCGTTCTCATTATGAAATAAAAAATTTAGAGATTGTGTGCATAAATATCTCACACAATCAATGAGAAACGTTGCGCTAATAAAATAGGAAAACAGGTTATTGAAAGAGTTAAATAAATAATATAAACAACTGCTGCGACTCATCGCCTTTGTGATCGTAACATCGAAGGGGTCATACATTAATTGATTTGGATGAGATTAAAAAAAGAGTTGTGTCTAACGACATATAGTATTTATGTCACACACCTTTTTGCTTCGTTTGCCAATAATGTTTTCTACCGATGGAGCCTGCGAAAAATTTGCCAACTAAACAAACATTCATCGTCCATTCATCTTTCTCGACTATATGCACCTATTCAAGCCAAGACTTTCAAATTAGGATGTCAAATCAGATTTAGAAAATTTGTCTCCGAAAAAACTGTATTCGTGAAATTGCATTTAATCTATTACGGGTTTTTATTTTATTTTTTTTTTATACAGTAATTAAAAATTTTACAGTTTTGGATGTGTACGCATGTACAGGCATTCCCGCTTTAAGTTAGCTTTCCTGTGAAAAATTTCTGAATGGTGTGACATTTCTTTACAAGTAAGATTTTGTTACATTTCAATATACAGTACTGTATATTTCTGAAACAAAAATTATACCATAAATACTTGATTTGGGGGGAATTTGATTTTTTCGATCATATCGTGGTACAAGTAATTAAAAAAAAAAAATTATGTACTGTAATAATCTTCACACTCACAATTTTATTACAAATAATTATTGCGCATGCCATAAATTATGCACAGTATGTGCGAAATAAAGTTAATGCCATGCATTTTAATTTTTTTTTTTTATTAAAAATTGAATTAATTAATTTTTTTACAAATATTTGTTAAATTCGAAAGTTGCAATAACCAATACCGACAAATTTCGAAATTTTTCTTTGAGAAATCTCGATTTATGAAATTAAACTATCAAATGCGATATTTATCTAGCATAATTAATTATGATCGCGTTATACAAAAATTGTATCGCATAGTCATAACTGCTGATTTCTCTAATTAACATTATATACATATTTTAACATACATGAATATAATAAATTATATTAAAAAAAAATCAACTATGGTAGTCCTCAAAGTCAACTACATATTATCTAAATTAATAATACAAAAATTATTTTATAAGCATAATTAAGTTAAAAACAATTGATAATACAAACATATTATTTTAAGATTATTAATTAATTTTTTCTTATCATTTGTATTCTGATTTTATATATAATATTTAGCAATAAAAAATATATATTTGATAATAAAAAAACAAACATTTGATTTTATATATAATATTTAGCAATAAGAAATATTTGACAATAAAAAAACAAACATTTGATATTAAAAAACATTTAACAATAAAAATTTATAAAATTCAACAAAAAAAAAATAAAAATTATAACAAAAAAAAATATATTCAATAAAAAAATCAAAATATTTAAAAAATTCAATAAATTTATATTATTGGTGAAAATAAAAATCCAAAAAAAAATTAATTCATTAAATAATATGTCTCAATAACTTTTTAATTTATTATTAGTAAATAAACAAAATTAAAATCTAATAAAATTATTAATTTTTTACTTGAAAATAAGCTATATTAATTGTTTAATAAAAAACAATGAAACAAAATATATTAAAAATAATAATTTGATTTAATTAAACATTATATTAATAAATAAAAATATAGGTATTTGAAATATTATTATAAATAATTGTAAATAGTTCAAAGCCATATTGTAAAGATATTATATTTCAAGCAATAAAACTTGATAAAATATTAATTTTTCTTATAAAAAAAAAACAACAGTTATATTTAAAAATTATATATCAAGTTTATAAAAATATAAAATAAAATTGCATTATATTTTAGTGATAAGTAATATGTTAATATCATTCAATATATATAATAGAAAGTTTTTTTGATTATTTTAAATTAATAAAAAAAATTTATAATAGCAGAAAAATATATAATAAACTAGATAGTATTGACAAATAATATACAAAAAAATGATATAATATTCTTAATATACTTGATAAAAATTTATAAAATAAATTTATTGTTATTGATTTAATTAAAGCAAAAAAAAATTCTCTATATTAGAGCTCCTAATGATATTACTTCAACACCAATTTGATATTTAATTTTACTATAAATTTATATACTGTAAGTGGATCACAATATATATATTAAATTTACTATAAATCAATATCATTTCAATATTACTTTGGTACTAGTTTGATACTTTTCAGAATTCTATTCTATATTTATAGGAGATGTGATACAGTCCTAAAATTAAATGAATAAATCAAGGTTTAATAATTATAGTAACATATCTCACTAACTACTTTTTGATAAAATGATTATAAACAATCAATTTGAAATTGAAGTAAATGGTTTCAATATCTTATTCACTATTATTTTTAAATAAATAGCTATTAATATCCAGTCTGATTGAAGTTGAAGTAAATGTTGAAAAATAAATAAATTTTATAGTTTATTTGTACCAATGGATTTTTTTATGCCAGGTAAAACAGGCTGATATGAAAAATAAAAGTAAAAAATATTACTAGCCCTCAGGAATAATGAAATAAGTCTAGAGTATTAACCCTCAGAAATACTTTATGTTGTTTATATTTTAAATAGATACATATATAAGTGAATAAGTTCTATAATCAATTAGATGTGTATAGGTATTAGATAAATAGTGCATTGTTAATTTGTTGGGTTTCTTCTCGAACCATTGGTAATGTTGAGCTAATTGTATAGCACATACTGTATATTTAAAAAACCAAATTTTTATTTAAAAATATTTCTCTTCTTTATGCCATTTCTAATCAAATATTCAATATATGATGCTTGCAAAATTGCCGAAAGTCGAGGTGGACAGTGTCTTTCTAATAATCATATTAATTGTAATACTCTATTAAGATGGAAATGCGCAAAAGGGCATGAATAGACTGTTATCTTTCATAATAGAAAAAATGGTAAGACATGGTGTTATACTTGTTCTGATACTAGATTCAATATATCTCAGTTGCTAAAAAAAATGGCACTTAGTAAAAATGGAGAATATCTCAGAAGAATATATTAACAATCGATCGCCTTTATTATGGTATTGTGATAAAGGATATAAAGGAATTGCGGTGTCCAGGTTGTAGGCACGTAAAACTTCTTAATCTTGAAATTGCCAAACAAATAACATATGATATAAATGGAGAGTGTCTCTCAACCGAATATAAAAATCTCAATGTTCTAATGTAAAGGCAATGGGATATAAATGGAGTTCAACACTTATTAGCATAAAAGCTGGGCGATGGTGTCTACATTGTGCTGGTTCAATTCCTCATATTCTTAAAATTACTAAACAAATTGCACATAGTAGAAATGGAAAATATCTTTCAATCAGACATAAAAATCTTGAAACTGATTTACTATGGAGTTGTGCTAAATGACATGAATGGTATACCCTCTCAATAGAATAAAAAATCAAGGAGCATGGTATATTTGGGACTACGAAGACCCAAATATAATTATTCCAGAGCATCTTCGAGAGTTAGTTCTTATTGAGTAAACTCTAATTTTTAAATTCATTTGCGATTTACAGTACTAATCAAGAAAATTTATTATTTTTTTATATCATAAAGTTTAAGCGAAAAGTGAGATTATACTGATACCTATGAAAAATCGAATTAATATATATGAATTGCAATATACTGTATAAAGTGTAACGATAGACCTCACTGATCAGCTTTATTAACAGCAGAAACTATACGTGAAGAAATAACGCGATCACATATTAACATGCAAAGATTGACATAATGGTTATTTGGATCAATAAAAGATGATCGGGATTTCACTTATCCTTGTTGAGTTCTCCTCAAATGGTAAGAAAGAACCTATCATTTTCCCCGAAATCACTATTGCGTACTCCCACTTTTGTTATATTCACGCCGTTCCAACAGGGTGCAGTTGAGCATTAGGGATTTGAGCTTGGAAGCTAGTAAGAACGAAGAAGGCGTTTTGAAAAGAGTAAATATTTCTGCGTACAGTATAGAGTTCGGTGACAGTTGCGAAGTGAAAGACACAACCAGAATTCTCATCTTGGCGCCTATTTTGAAGACCATTTGTTGCAAAAGCATCCATGATTGCATAATAAGCCGGCCAACCCTGCTGATTGATCTAAACTTGATTTGAGAAATAATAAGGACTGGGTCGAGATTTTTCACACTACTAAGTTGCTTCTCGTATTTTGTAATTTCTTCGTTGGAGACTTGCAGTAAAATAGTTTTAAGCGCCTCGTGGGTAGTTACGAAATCTTCAAAGTCTTCAGGCATTCTAAAAATGATGTGGAAAGAGTAATAAGCTTTTACTAATTACAATAGCCCGGGTAACATTATACTTACTCGTTGGATGAAGAAGTAGTGTTGCTTATTGAACAAGGCGCAATTGCTGTGTTAAAAGTATTTAGGTAAATCAGTATCTTAACCTTATAAAAAAAAAAAGGGTCAAAGATAAGAGCGGCAACGACAATTAGCAGGCTCTTGGCCGAGGACCATATCATGCTAAAATATCCAAATATGGCAAGCAACTACATTAAGTTCTGAGTACTCTTAGTAATTAGAGTACGAAAGTTTGTTTGCTCGTTTATAAGAATGAAATCTATTAATTGTTAGGTAACAAGAAGCAGCCTTCATATCTAAACAATTACATTTTTTTGGGACGAATAAATAATCAACCAAATAAGATCTTTTTATCTAATCTAATATCACTAAAGATTTTGGCAAACTTCATAAATAAAGAAGTAAAAATTAACATTCATGTTAATTTATTACATCATACGGGTCTTGGGTTCGGTTCAACGCCAAAAATTCATGTTAACACAGTATATAACTACTTTCACACACACAAAAAAAAGGAATATACAGTGTTGTAGGAACAATAGGATTGGTAACGCGACAATCAGGACGCGTCGCGTAATGATGGGAAATGATGGCAGAATGATGTAATAATGTGGTAATAGCATGTAAGGGGAGGTAACGCGTCAATAAGACATATAAATAGATAGTTTTTAAAAAAGTCAATGATAGTCAGATTTTAGAGTTTTAGTTTTTCGAAACACTTCTTTTTTTTTCTCGCGCTTTATTAAATAAATGCTATTCTACTTCGCACGATAATATTTACACCAAGGAGTCTCTCTCCATACCTTGGTAGTAGGACCTCCCGGATCTACTATCTTATGTAGACCTCGGTGTAGTGCATATCTCCTAAAGTATAAACTAAGACTACCGCCACTACAGTAAAGCAAACGACTTTAAGGGAGAGAGACGCGACGTTACCTTTGCCCCGTGTAGAGAGCGGCGCTTGTAATCTTGAGACGCGCCTAGAAAGAAAGACTGTCAAGAAGAGATTAGCAAGTGCGCGAGAGTCAACCGCCTCAGAGTTAAGCCTTACCTTTATTTAGTGCTGAAATCCAAGCGTTCGGATTATCGTCACGCGAAGAGTGAGCCGTTTTAGCGACAGGCTCATCGGTGACGACAACAACAATATGTTGATAGTCAAAAACAAAAAGATGTTGTAATACACCGGATGGAATTTTTATGTAAAATGTTGAATTCGGGAAGTTTATGTCAGTATTTGATGGTGAGAACATGGAAATAGAAACATGACCAAAGTTACTTCCAGGGGAAACTCGTTACACACGATGAGTATATATTTTCATCATATGATGATGTGACTATGTGTTGAATGAGCGACCATTAAGAAAGAAGGGACATGGATGGTCATTGCATATTAATGAATTTTTGACGTGGATGTTTAAAAATAGAGGTCAGATTTAAGTTTTTTATAATTAACATGGTATTAATTTTTTTTTTAAAGAAAAAAACTCCTCAAACTATCCAAAAGAGGATGTATTATTATAACTTCTAATATCAGTGGTGACGGTTGGTGAACAAGTGAGAAGACCTTGTGAAACAAGTTTAAGAAAAGTAATTTCCATTTTTTTTTGAAGAACAGTTTCCTAGTGCAATTGGAGTTTCTGCTTTTGATCTAAAAATTCATAATCTAAAAATATAAATCTTAAGATTGAATTGATCTAATGTTTAAATAAATTGTTTTTTTACAAATTATTACAATTATAATTGTCTTCACACAATTATATATCTACCTTATTCTTTATTTGGTTCTTAGGAATTATAGCATACTATATTAGGAACTGTATCTTAAATAAAGTATCCATTTACCATTAGTTCTTTATTTATATTGAAGGTTAAATTAATATATAACAGTATAATACAAATTGTTTTCTTATAATATGGAATTTTATTAAAAGATTATGAAAATTATCTCTTATATACTGTATATAATCTAATGTACTAAATCTTGATATTCTTTATTGCAAGTATAATAATAATAGTAATATAAAGTTTATATTCATATAAAGAATCAGATATTGTAAAATAAATAATATTATTTAAAATTATAATTTCAATAATATTAATTGTTTAATAGTATAATAAGTATAAGCTATACCTTGGCCTTAAATTCAATAAAAACAAAATTATTAATAATTTCATTAATTTTGTCAAATAAAATTTTATAGTTTTTTTTTTAATAATTTAAAACTTATATATAAAAAATAATTTGTATAATGAAAAAATTCATTTGTAGCTAAAGTATTACTATTATTGCTAGCAACTAAAATATTATAAAAGTAAGATAAATATTTTTTAATCATATTTAAAGTTATAATTATAATTAATAAACTGATTTTTTATATTATTATATTTAAATAAAATTATTTTTGTTGAAAATAAGTATCTTTTGTTTATATAAGTAATATAAAAATAATTAAATTAATAATAATAATATTTCAAAAAGTATAAGTACTAGATTAAAATAAATCTTTAGGTAAGAAAAAATTGTATTGTTAGAATTTAATTAAAATTGTTATATAAAAGATTAAATATAATATACTATATCTTAATTTTTCAAGCTAAATATATAGTAAAAATAAAAAGGATCCTAATAATATAATTTTTATTTTGAGCTATATTTATTAATTATATTTTCTATAGATTTTATAATAAATTTCTTAATCAATTTATACAAATTAACTTATTATATTATAAAAATATTTCTTTTTATTATAAGCAAATTAAAAAAAAATAAGAGTTTCAAGTCAAAGTTATAAGTAGAAATCAATATATATAAATTATTATTTTTTAAATAAATAATATTATTTATTATATATATATATTATTATGAAATTTATTAGAAAAATTATATTTTAAAATTATAATTTCTAAAAAATCAACATAAAATATATTTATATCAATATCAAAATATATAATATAATAATTAAAAAAAGTCTATTAGTATTTTATTTTTAATATGAAAATAGAATATTGACAAATAGTTAAAAATAAGAATTATTATATAATAATCAAATAGCAGTTTGTTATAAAATATTATTACAAATTAAATAATTTTTATATTATTATTATTTAATTCTAAAAGATATTTAAGATTTTAAAGTAAAAAGTATAAGTTTTAATATTTTATAAATATTTTATAATATTTATCAAGATTTTATATTTTGAGTAAGGATTATTATTAGAAAATTTTTTTAAAAAATAGTATAAATAAATAAATAAATAATAAATATTTTTTTTAATAAAGAAAAATTATATTTTAAATTATATAATTGTTATAGAAATATATAATATATAATATTTTTTAGAATTATTATTATTATTATTATTCATAATCAAATAAACTTGTATTGTTTATTAAATTTTTTAATAAAAAACAAATAATATATAATATATTAAATATTACATTAAATATATAAACTATTCTATAGACTCTTTCTGCTGATCCCCTTGCCAACCCAAAAAATGGATGTTCTCAAAAATAATTTTTATTTTTGATAATAAAGTCTATACACTTTCTTTAAAAACATTACTTCCTGAAGGCAGGTGCCTCCCCCCACTTGTTTATTCTTCCTTCTTCAAAAACTTTGGATATTTTAGTGACAAAATAAACAAAACTTTACCTATTTGGTTTATGGCAAGAACACCTTACTGGGAAGAAGAAACTTGTAGAAAAACATCCTCCACTATATTCTCCAAAGGTCTGGAACTCTAGAAAGTGAACCATTAGTGAATGCATTTCCCAAGCTCCATAAGAACCTTGGGTCCACCATAAGCAAACACCTTTTTCCAAGGCAGGTGGATAAGCTAGTTGGTCCTATCAAGCGAATACATTTCTCAAGCTCTATAAGAACCTTGGGTCTACTATAAGTTAAAACTCCTGTGATTCAGGCAGGTGGATAAGCTGGTAGGAATCTACAGCTCTGGTATATGATCCTATGATCCTCTCTTATCAATCATATATCCTGCATAGTATTTTCAAGCATGTAAAAATTTTTCTTGGTTTTTTCTGGGGAATTTTGCCTATCTCAGTTTGACCCTGAATTTTTTGTTACACCGGATTCTCTGGTTGGTAATTGGTTGAAATTTTGGACTGGTTGATCAACAAGTAAAAGAAATATAAACAAGACACGTACCCACACGTGCCTCATGTCGTACCACACTATAACCGATGATGTAATTGGATAAAGCGAAAGAGCAAGGTGTCAAGGTATTCTCTTATTAAGAAGTGTTTAGAAGTCTTCCCCCTCCCCTCTTGTGTTGGTTTCTTTTCTCCCCAAGGTCAAAGAAGGCTTTCATTAGGCTAGTGATTGGTTTTGGTGGGGTTTTTATTTTACTAGCATAAATTTTTCTCCTTCTTCTTTATCTTTCCCCTTTACCTTCTCCAAAAAATAAAAATTTTTACACCTTAGGACTACAGAGATTAAGTTGGAGTGAACAGTCTTGAGTGAAGGGCTGGCGATAATATTGAGATCCACAAGAAACGTGGTTCAAGATAGAGCAACATTTTTCATTTCCCTTAATCACATCTAGAAGCCAGTGGCTATTGACGGGTATGCCATATATAGACAATAAGTTTAACCTTTAGTATAGATCTGTCAGACATTATATATATCTACCCATCTGTACCTCGGGTCAGTACCGATATACTGCTTATACACAAATAAACTTGAAATATATGGCCTGATTAGGCATAAAAATATATATATATATATATAAACTATTCTATAAATTAAACAATTATTTTAAATAATTATCTTTTATTATAACTTTGTGAATAAAATAATTGCTTGTTTTTAGTCTATTTTATTAAAAAAATTAGTTTAAGAAATTATAATATACATTTATTATTATTATTATTATTATTATTATTATTATTATTATTGAGAAACAAAGACAACCGTTAGTCTCTGGCTTTTTATTATAAGTGACTTGCCATTACAACAGTATTATAAATTGCTAGACTAAACTACATCTCTCTTTCATAAGAAGAGCTTAATGCTATTATTATTATTATTATTTATAATTATTTGATATTTTTTTATAAATAAAAATTTTTATTAATTTTATTAATTTTATTATTTATTATTATTATTATTATTATTATTTTAATTATTTTTAATAAAATAGCATTTAAACTTATTTTTTATTATAAAAAAATTTTATTTAATATAATTTAATAAAGATAAAAATATATTACAAAATTATAAAACTGATAAAAAAGAAAAAAAAAAAGAGTTTATATTAAGTAATAGATTATTAACAATATTTAAGTAAAAAAAAATATCAAATATTAAATTTAATTTAATAAAAAACAATTAACAAATTATAAAACAAATATTTTAGTCAAATTATATAAAAAAAACAAAAATATACTTTAGAAAATATTCTTATAATAAAAAGCAAAAAAAGAATAAGACTAATAAACCATAAAAAAAATAAAAAAAATAATATAATAATTGTAATATTTTCAAGTTAATTAATAGTTTTATAAATTGTTTATAAAAATATTGTAAGAAGTGAATTAAGAAAATACAAAATATTTGGATATAATAACATAATCAAGACTTTGCCAAAGTAAACTGTAATAATAAATTGCAAACAATAAATTTAAATCTTTTTAAAATAAAAAAATGAGAAAAAGCAACTTATTTATTTTTAAAATCATATCTAGAGATAAAATATCAAAGATGAATATTCAAGTATAAAGAATAATTTATGCATAATAGTTCTGCCAATTATGTTTTATATTTTAAGATTAAAATCAACACAATAAATGCTTGTTTCATTATAAGAAAATAAAATAAATATAATTGATCTCAAGAAATTATAAAACTTTTTAATTACGCTTATTTTTTTTTAAAAAATATTTGTTTAAATAATATTTTTATGTTCCCAACTGTATATTTTAATTAATAATTAATCGTAATTAATTATTAATTAATTTTTTGTGAAATGGTGTAAAATAATAAAATTCACGTATAATATCGATTATCGATAGACATAATTCAACAAATAGTTTTTCAGCAATGTGCAAAAAAAAAAAAAAAAAATTACGCATTTTTTGGCACTTACTCAAATATATTAATTTGTAGATACCTATATTGGTTGACCAATTTTTTACTACATTATAATAAGTAAGCATTCCGAAATTCAGCTGGTAAATCTTCATTTTTTTAACGCATCTGTGAAACTTATTCTTACATGGATGACATTTAGGGTTAAAATGCTTATATTCAGGGATGGTACGTAAGTAGCAACCCCTATATTCTTGCTCCTCAACGTTTCGTCGTTTCTCACATTTATAAAATTCCGTTCCTTTATTTAAATGTCGTGTTGATTGATATCGCAGTTCTTAATCATATGTCTCATTTTTTGTTTGTATCCGGTATCGAATTTCAAAATCAATTATGCATCACATCAATAGTAATCAAGATACAGCATCCAATACATCGCATTTTTCCAACACGGCTTCCTCTGAAATCTCAGATTTCAGTAATGCCTCGATGACCGTTGGGAGTCTCAGTCATCGCTCCCAATTTTTTAGTGAAAGCTCATTTTCTTCGACTGATAGCGAAAACAATGGAGCTAGAGATACCATTGATGATGAATTCATCGACGAAATATCGGATCTTTCGGATCTCCGTAGTTCCCTCGGAACTATTGAAGGCTCTGCTTATTGGTCACCTGAAGTTCCAGAAGACAATCGAAGTCGAAATGAAACGAATGATCTAAACGAAACGCGAAACGTGAGAAACAATAGAGGCATTATAGTGAATGGGACTAGATACTTGAGGGATCTTAGTATCTTAGTAAGAGGAAGCATTGTTGAGAATTTTAGGTTTTACAGTCAGTTATATTGTGAAATATTTGATTACTTTCTATTTAGGATTTTGGGTTTCTTAAGAGGTCAGTATTCTAAGAATTTATATTATTTGCTAGATAGTATAAAATGTACTCAACTTTGATTTTGCTTTCCAATTACAAAAACAAAATCTTTAATAGAAAAAAGTTCGTATATAATCAAAACCTTTGAAATATTTTTGATAACCACCTTCATAATTTGGATGAGCTTCGACATCCAACTCCTACCCGACGAAGTCACCCATTTTGTCTGTTTAAATTCTCCTGTCGTAATCTCTCAAACCTTCTTACCGCACTGCGAAAACTTTTTCGTTCCAGATTTTTCAAAACTTGTCGAGGCCCAAATTCAGATTCATCGAGAATTATCCAAACCTTTCGAATTGCAATCGAATACTGAGATTCCTCATAAATCCGAAATTTCGTTTGAACTAAGCCTGGATTCACTTGCTCGTGACATTCAGGAATCAGTGTTAGCTACAAGAGATCTTATTGATCTGGTGAAGGATAAGTCTTACGAGCAACAACAACAACAGGCTTCTGAGAGTGGATCCTATAAAATCGAGTCACCCGAACCCGGTTCTCCGGATTTTGTGTATTCGGAGTATGATCCTTTTAGCTCTTTTGAATCCACGTCCTTTGATTATAAAACGCCGTCAGATTTCAAGCTTACTAAATTTCACGGTCCTGAAATTACAAACATAGAAAACCAGATAATCAAGGAATTAATAGAATATTCTGATAACAGTTTTGAGGTTGTCAAAGAATTGAAAAGATTGCAGTTATTAGTTCACAATTCCTTAGATGGAACTATCAATTTGATAGTTTTTACATTGGAAAGTTTGATAAGCATTAAAGAAAAAAGTTTAAGCTTACAACAGTACAAACAGTTGAAAGAGATGACTGGTGTGAGGAATTTGTTGAGTGGAAAAAGGCGTGATCTTAAAGGGTCCGCTTCCCGTTTCATTGATCTTGATAATAATGATTCGATGAATCTAGATTGGAACGAAGGGGATGGTATAAGTTTTAGACAGTGTAAACAAGTCAGAGATATATATAAGGTGTTACTTCTAGCAACAAATGAGGATTTAAGGAAACTATATTTGGGAGCCTATGCTGCATTAGAGGGGTAAGACATAAAATATAATTGCATTTTCTTTATCGTGCCTCAATTTATAATTTAATTTATTAATTTTAGTCTGCGGTATATCCAAAAATCCCAATTCATCATTTCAAACCTATTTTCAGCATACGAAGAATTTCATTATTATAATTACCATAATTCCAATACCAATATCCAAAACTTAAATCTCTTTTCCAATTTCTGGTCATTCTTTGGTAATCACGAAAGTGATGACAATAACAAAGAGGAAACAAAAATATTCGAAAAAACCATGAAATTATTCAAGACAATTGATAGACAACAAAATGTAGTCAACGAATACATACTGAATATTATTGATCATGTGAAAGATGTTCAAAAAAAATTGAAGAAGTTACGGGGTGATTTTGTGATTCCAGGTCACGTAGAACGTGCGGGATCAAACATGATTAAAATGATACGAAGTTTCGAAGACAGGATATCGAAAGAGAATGAGTTAAAAGTACAGCTGATTCACATGAAAAAACGATTGTTGGAATTGAGACAGGAGAAAAATTATGTATAGAAATAGAAATTCACTAATATAATGTAGTCGATAGTTCCATAACTAGAAAGATTAATATATACAACAAAAACATGACCATTTCAAAAGTAATGACACTTATTAATAAAACATTAGGATGAAATTCATGAACTTCATACCTGAGAATAATTTAATAAATTATCCACCAATTTCTTCTTGTTGCACAATTTCCTCGTCTCTTTTCGTTGGTTTGTGAACATCCAAAAATACTTTCCGTTTTAACTCGGGTGGTAAATACTCTTGATGAACAGGGCCTTCGTAATCAGGATTATACTTATAACCATGACCATAGCCAAGATCCTTTGCGAATGTGTACAGTGAATTATATATTTAAGCACGTCATGAAATACTCTCATTGTTCTTCTTACCTTCATTAATTTTGTTGGTGCATTTCTTATGTTAAAAGGAACCGGATAAGAATACTCTTCTTGAATGGTTTTTTTTACCTTGTTTCGAATATATTGAATTTATTCATTAACCAAACGAATAAAAAATTTTTTTATTTATCTTATTAAAATTTTTTTTTTTAAAAAATCGATTCATACCAATTGATATGCCATGTATGATCTTACACTCTTTGGAGCTTCTGCCAAATATGTAACACAATGTGCCAAGTTAGTTTCACATTCAGGAATGCCAATAAATTGACATGCTTGGTAAGTTGCTATGGCCTATTTGTTTTTTTTTTTTTTAAAAAAAAAAAAGTGTAAATTTCGTGGAATAGTATCCACACGTACATCAATAAATGCTTACCAGAGGAAGAGCATTGTTATCAGCAAGCCCAATATCTTCCGAAGCAACCACGATCAATCGTCTTGCTGTGGAATCGAATAATTCATTCGTTATCTTTTCTAACATATTTGAAAAATCGAACCAAATTCATACGAAGGATACCTATGTATAGAGGATCTTCTCCCGCGGTAAGCATTCTACCAAGCCAGTATAAACTTGCTGCAAATATCTATGGTTAATGTTATAACTCTAGTAAAAGATTCTTAAAAGACCGTCATACCATTGGTATCACTAAGTGTAAAGTGAAATAAAAGTTCAAATATGTCATATGTATACGCGATTTCATTAAAGAAAATCAAGATGCCATACCTTCCTCTAATACTTTTATGAAGAGCGCTGATTATATTATAGTGTTCTTCACCGTCTTTATCATATTGAAGATGAGATTTTTGAAGCACCATTTTAATATCTTCCTTCATGATTTTTTGATGCAATGTGTTCATGGCTATCTCTAATGTATTTAGAGCTATCCTTGCTGTAGAAACAAAGATGATCATTTCTTAATGAAGAAATCTCGGTGCTATAAGAAATATTTGAATATATTAAAATACCATCTCCATCACTCATAACTGCCAAAAACCTTAAGGCTTCATCGTCTACTCTATCCTCGGGTTTTTTATCCACAAGCTGTAACGCTGTTTTGAATGAACATTTGTCCTCTGTTTTACTGTCTCGAGATGCTCTTTGCAAAATGGCATACACTTCGTCTGAAGATAATTTATTCAACGTGAAGACCTTACAGCGGCTCAATAATGCAGAATTTATTTTGAATGAGGGATTCTCCGTCGTTGCGCCTAAAAATCAATTACAAGACTGAGCTAAGCATCACAATTTTGATGCATTTGAAATTGTTGCATGCATACCTATAAGTGTTATTTCGCCCGACTCTACATATGGTACTATTTATGAGGAAATTTAAATTTACGGGTATTAAAAAAAAAAAAACGAAAAATAATATAATATCCTTACAAAATAAATCTTGTTGTGCTTTATTGAACCGATGACTATTTTAACATTGAAATTAACAAGGTGAATTAATATCATGATTGTCGAGATAAACCGATATTATAGTAAATATGATGGTACATTTCATCCAAAAAAATAATTGTACGCCTTCCCGGAAACAGCTTTCTCTCATTTTTGGCTTCATCAAAAGCTTTTCTAAAAATTAAAGCAGTAATTAATATCTAATGATTTTTGATTCTGATCGTCTTGACCTACTTGAGGTCGGCGGAAGCTAATAAAAATAATAAATTGGTAAGTTGGAAAAAGATGAATACATGAAGTAATTCAAATGTTTTATTTACCATGGGTGACTCCTGAAAATTCTTTGAAAATCGATTGCGTCATATTTGACATTATCTTAATAAAATTGGCAAAAGTATTACAATCAAATAGAAAAAAAAAGCTTAGGAGAAAAAAAATAAGTCATTCGTCGAAATTTACCCTAACTAGAGTCGTTTTACCAGTCCCCGATGGTCCCCACAATATCATTGATCTGATTAAAGAGAAAATAAGAATAAAATAAATTCTTTGTCTTTATATGCTTAACATCATATAATTTTTATTAAAAACGCTTACGGTATTATATCACGTAAAATGAGATTTCTCAACAACCCATTTTCTCCGACCAACTCATTTTGTCCGATGAATTCATCCAAATTACTTGGACGAACTTAATTGAAGTAGAAATAAATAAAAAAAGAGTCGCTTATAATATTTTTCTTTAGAAGAGAAAAAAAAACAATACATGAATACCTCTCGCGGCTAACGGTAAAGCATTGTTTTTTGCGTCACTTTTAGATTTTTTATTAGGACGCGTATTTGGTGTCTCTTCGCGTGATTCCTTCTTATTATGAATTGCATCTATTTTTTCGAGAATTTCTTCCTCACTGTCCATTGCTGACTTCTTCCAGTAATCAATAATATTCCTACGCTTGAAATTAAGAAGTATTTTACTAGTTTTAGAATTAATTGTTGCCCATTCAGATGAATCTAAATTAGTCTATATACCGAGGTCTTTTGTGCCTTAGAGTGCATTGAACAGGTATTGTAAATATGTTTGCTAATACTGTAAGTCCGTCATCAACTGTGCATCCGATAAATGGCAAGAGATACAGTATACGCAAGACCGAAAATTTTAAATAATCCTCGAATTAATATTATATGTTCAATGTTCAACGTACTAATCATCCAAGTTCATTTTTTGAGAGATTTTTACGCGTTAAAAACCAGGTGTGACCAGACTTCTATTTATGCATAATTCTGTGAAGATCTGATCAACCTTGATTGCCAATTATGATTTGAGGGCTGCCATCATTAATTTCTGCGCTTTACTTCAACGCGATCAGTATGGGAAACACACAATCAAATGAATCTGCAGAATCGAATGAAAATGATTTTGGAAGATCCTCAGAAACACCTCGAGACAAACCGATAATGCCCGTTGCTGCCGGTCGTCCAATTAAGAAGTTTCATGATTTCGATTCAAACTCACCATTTGTTGGTTCGCCTCTACTTTCACACGAAGAATATAAAAAAGAAGGAATCGATATATACGAATACATCCAAAATGACGATTTAGCTTCTAGTTACGATATCCTGGTTGGTGATAGCGGTTCCTCGAAAGCTCGAACATCATCGCTAATAGCAGTCGAACCACCGTATTGGAACCTTAACAAAATATCACACGATCTCAAGTCCAGTGATGGTCTAACCCCACTAACGAGCGTCAACGAACAAGGTTGAAAAAAGGACTCCCCTTTAGTTGAAATTAAGGCTTTCTAAACCGTTCGTTGATATTTTCATTATATAGGAGTCACAAAGGGAATACCCACGATTATCACTTGGAGTCATGGCGGTAATAATGTTTACGTCACTGGCACTTTCAATGATTGGAAGCAAAATATCAGACTGTGTAAAAGGTTTATGTCTATTTAAATTGTCTCATAATTCCAACACATTTTATTAATATTTTATTCGTATACAGTTCCAAGGATTTCACCACGGTAATTAATTTAACACCAGGAACACATAAGCTAAAATTCATTGTAGATGATGAATGGAAATGTTCTAGCGATCTTTCAACGGCCACTGATCCGGACGGTAATTTGGTAAACTATTTGGAAGTTTATGAGGATGACTACGAAACCATTAATCAAGAAGGGTTTGACTCTGATGGTAATGACATATCGATTTTGGTTGGACCGTTATTAATTAGGCCATTATTAACTTCAAGTTAACTTTGAAGATCTATCAAGTACTCCTCCGGCTGAATATACCGACAAGATTCCGAGTTATCTGTTGGCTTATGATCAATCTGTTGGTACTGAAGAGAATGTTGAGGGTAATTCCAATACAGAAGATGCCGGCGAACCTTCTGAGCGCCTAACAAAGAATCGGCCACCAACCCTCCCACCACATCTAGAAAGAGTATTGCTTAATTTTCCAGCAATTTCTAAAGATGACAATAGCGTTCTTCCTGAACCCAATCATGTAGTCTTAAATCATTTGTATGCCTGCTCGATAAGGGATAATGTTATGGCCGTTGCTGGTACTGCAAGATATAGGAAAAAGGTTGGTCTCACTATTTCATATTTGACTGGGTGTAATTATTAGCAGGAATACTGACCACATTTCCTACTCCAATAGTATGTGACCACGGTCTATTATAAGCCCATATTCACATAATTTATAATATTTCGATGTGCAAATATCTATATTTCGTATTATTATTTTAAGGGATGCTAACGTTACTCCCATGAGAGTTTAAGAACACTGGATTTCCTTTTCAATCATTGTGACCTACATATGTTTCTACATAGAATTCTATGTCATTATTAAGCACGTAATGTAACTTCTGATTACAAAATTTCTATAATTCCCGGAGCTCGCAACCAATCTAAACAGTGATATTTGTGAAAGCAAATAATTACTTGCAACTATTTAAACAATAATATTTGTGAAAGCAAATAATTAAATTCCCTATTCATGTGTCATATTTCTTAAATAGCGAATCCGAGCTCATTTAATATTTTGTTGACCTCGTCGTGATATCCCTTTAAAATTTGTTCAGAGTTTTTCGCTCTTTTTGGATGTTGCGACGACTGACATTTGAGATTGTCACCTTTCTGCCTTCTGCAACAATCATCGGAGCCAATATTTTCTTTACAGCTGCACATCGACTCGGT